AAACAAGAAAAAATTATTTCTTCCCAGTTATGGAGGCCAGAAGTTCAAAATTGGTATCACTGGGCTGAAACCAAGGTGTCAGAAGGACTTTGTTCTCTGAAGGTTCTGTAGAAGGCATCCATTCCTTGCCTCTTCTGGCTTTTGGTGGCTGCTAACATTCCTTGGCTGTGGCTACATCACTTCAGTCTTCAGGAATAGCACCTTCAAATCTCTGTCTTCACATTACTTTCTCTTCTGTGTGTCTGTGTCAAAATCTCCCTCTTTTCTCTCATATGACACTTGTGACTTTATTTAGGCCCTACTCAGACAATCCAGGATAATCTCTCCATCTCTAGATACTTAATTAAGCACATATGCCAAAACCCTTCTTTCAAATAAGGTAATATTTACAGGTTTCAGGGATTAGGAATATTTATATTTAGGACCATTATTCGGCCTATTACAGTACCTCTCGTGCAACTGACTTTTAAAATTTTACAATGGGTCTTACGGACGTTTTCCATCATATTAACATAAATTTTTCTCATTCAATGCCTTTGCTATAGAGTATGCCCAGGATGAGTATTACATATTTTGATTTTTAGTTCTTAAGTTTAGAAGCAATGTTTTTATTTTTTCACTATTACAGACATGTGGCAATGATTGGTGAAGGTGCTGAAGTGCTTCATACTGTACCTTTTGTTAAATCCCATGGGTATGGGATCAGTACTAGGTTTGAGTGACAGTAAGAGGAAACAGTTCTATCTATATGGTTTCATTTTTCTCAGTAAAGAAATTGCAATTGTATATTATTTACTTCAAATAATTAAATAATAAAATAAATATTTAAATTTAGCTTGCTTTTTGATACTATTACTCATTTGAACTTTTATTATCAATGATTATGATGTATCTCTTAATCTTAATTCCTAAACTTTGAGTGATTTTTTTTTTTTTTTTGCTGAAAGATCAAGGCAGAAAAACCCCAAAATTATAATGATAACTTACCTGAGTTTCTGAAATTATTAAGAGGCACAGTGGTTCCAGTTCTGGTAAAGCACTACTTACATTGAACTCACTGAATTGTAACCACAACAATAGAGCATTATAGAAATCTTTTGCTCAACTAGTATGATTTTGATTCTATGGAGACTAATTTCTTAAATTAGACTATAGTAATAACAAAAATATTAAAAGTGATTTGCTGCTTTGAGAATAGTTAAATAAAATATAATCTAATCATAGGTTGGTTATCATTGCTGAAAGTATTACATTTATAATTGCTACTTTACACTTTATGTTAATATCTACTTAAATCAACTTTTCATCAAACTAGTTTATAAATAGCCGAAGTGCAGAATCTCAGATTAAGTCATATTTGTTTACTTCAACTAAATATATTTAAATGAATGGGTGAACAAATTGAGAAAATTAACACCTAAGAATCTCTAAGATATGAACACTATCTGAAGAGGTGATTATACTGATTGTTTTTTAACCAGAGGAGGACTTTCTTAGCAAGAAATGCTCATAGTGCAAACTTTCTTAGCAGTTGTATTTGACAATAAGCAGTCATGAGAAGTATAGAACTTGAGAGTAGGCTTACAAGTAATCAGTACAAATAAACTGTGGTAGGTATATTGTATTTTCCAGGCTCATGATGATGTTTACCCTTTCTGGGTAAATTTACTTAGTATCTCATGTCAATACCAGAATTCAGATATGGAATTCTATTGTTCTGGAGTAGTACTATATTTCTACCAGAGTAAAGAATATCTCCTACAGAATTGCATTTGACTTTGTTTTAGCATTTCAGTAGTTGATCAAGGCAGTCATCTTATGATGTATATGTGTGTGAGGTCTCCCATTTACATCCTAATTGTATTTATATTAATTTTCTATAAGGATATAGGAGAATTAAATAAAGAATATAGTTTTGAAATATAATTCATGATGTGAAAATCTTTTTAAAGTGGAATGTTATTTTTAAATTAAATGAGGTGTGATTACCTGATCCAAAGGCAGAGCAGATGGCCAAGAAAAAGCCTCCACAGATCATTCTCCCTGAAGGAACACCAGTTGAACAACTATCTGCACAAAAAAGCACCTTCATCAGAACAAAAAATTAGGTGAAGGATTATAGTACCTGGTTTTAACTTCGTATCACAGAAGGAGGAACTGAAGGGGATAAGAAAGACAGTCTTGAATTGCTGATGCCATCCTTTCCCTATCCTCTGGTAAGGGTCACATAGTGCACAGAAGGAATCTGTGTGCTTGAGGGAGGAAGAGCAAAGTGATGATGGGACTTTGCATTGGAATTCAGTGCTGCCCTGTCATAGTGGAAAGCAATACCAGACAGAGCTCAACTGGTGCCTGTGGAGGCAGCATTTAGACCAGTCCTAGAGACAGGGGACAATTATAAGAACGTGAGTTCTGTCTAGCCTTGCCACTGTGGGATAAAGTGCTCTGGCGTTCTAAATAAACTTGAAAGGCAGTCTAAGCCACAGGTACTACAATTCTTGGACAAGTCTTGGGCCTGTGTTGGGCTTGGAGTCAGTGGACTTGGAGGGCACAGGATCTAGTGAGATGCCAGCTGGAGTGGCCAAGGGAGTGTTGTACTACCCTTCCTCCAACTTCAGGTGGCACAGCTGTCAGCTCCAGGATACACTTCTTCTCTCTGTTTGAGGAGGGGAGAGAAAGAATAAAGAGGACTTTGTCTTGCAGCTGGGTTACAAGCTCAGCTACAGTAGTATAGGGTAACAGGCAGAGTCCTGAGGTCCCCATTCTAGACCCTAGCTCCCAAATAACACTCTAGATATACCCAGGGCCAGAAGAAAACCCACCGCCTTGAAGGGAAGGACCCTGTCCTAGTAGGATTCATCAGTTGTTTACTAAAGAGCCCTTTGACCCTGAAGAATTAGCCATGGTGCCCAGGCAATGCTTGCCTTGGCCTTGGGTAAGACTCAGAGATGTTGGCTTCAGGTGTGACACTGCACGTTCTCAGCTGTGATGCCTACAGGGAGGGACTTCTTCTTTTTGAGAAAATGAGAAGGAAGAATAAAGGGGATTTTTGTCTTGCAGCTTAAGTACCAGCTTGGCCACAGTGGGGTAGAAAACCAAGGGAGCTCTTGGGATCTCTGATTTCAGGCCTTGGCTCTTGTGCAGCATTGTTGGACCTGCCCTGAGCCAGAGGGGAGCGCACTACCTTGCAAGGAGAGTCCCAGGCCAAAAAGCATTTACCACAAGCTGACTGAAGAGCCCTTGTGGTTTGAATGAACATTGGCAGTAGTTAGGCAGTACTTGCTGAGAGCCTGAAGTGATAGTGGCTATGAGGATTCACCTCTTGAGGAAAGAGGAGGGAAGAGTGGGAAGGACTTTGTCTTATGGCTTAAGTGTTAGCACAGCTGCAGTAGAATAGAGCACCAAGTAGTTTCTTAAGGTTTCTGACTCCAGGCTCTGGCTCCCAGATGGTGTCTCTGGATCCATCCAGGACTGGGGAACTTTTTCCTTGAATGGGAAGGACACTAGCCTGGCTGACCTTACCACCTGATGATGATAGAGCCTCAGGAATGTGAGTGAACATAGATGCATGATGGATACCCCATTTACCCTGATGTGATTATTATGCATCTTTGCCTGTATCAAAATATCTTATTTACCCTATAAATACATGTAACAACAAAAATTACAAATTAAAACAAATAAATTAATTAAATGAAGTGTAATTTGGAAATAAAATAGATAAGTTCCAGTAACATAAGAAAGAAAACATATTTGAAGAGATCGTAGTATTTTTCACTGGAACTTCTTAATCTAGACTTTCTGCCAAAAGCAGATCTTTTTCTTTTTATCTAGAAATGCACAGAGCTATTTTAATTTGACTTATTTTGGATTAGAAAAGCCTTTATTATTCTTCAAGTTATTTTATTTATTTTTTAAATTTTTTATCTTTGATTTTCATGGGTACATAGTAGGTGTATATATTTATGGGGTACATGAGATGTTTTGATGCAGGCATGCAATGCATAATAATCATATAAGAATAAATGGGGTATCCATTGCCTTAAGCATTCATCATTTCTTTGTGTTACAGACATTCCAATTGTACTCTTTTAGTTATTTAAAAATATACAATAAATTATTTTTGACCATAGTCATCCTTGTGCTATGAAATATTAGATTCAATTTATTCTCTCTAACTATATTCTCTCTAACTATAACAGTGCATCTGTTAACCATCTCCACTTTTACCTCCTCTCTTGCTACCCTTCTCAGCCTCTGGTACCCATCAGTTCACTATCTACATGAGTTCAATTGTTTTAATTAGTCTCCACAAATGAGTGAAAACATGTGACGGTTGTCTTTCTGTACCTGCCTTACTTCACTTAACATCATGACCTCCAGTTGCCTCCATGTTGCAAATAACAGGATCTCATTCTTTTTATGGTTCAATAGTACTCCATTGTGTATATGTATTATATGGTTTGGCTGTGTCTCCACCCAAATCTCATCTTGAATTGTAGCTTCCATAATTCCCATGTGTTGTGGGAAGGACCTGCTAGGAGATAATTGAATCTTGGAGACAGTTTTTACCATACTCTCCCCATGGTAGTGAATAAGTCTTATGAGATCTGATGGTTTTTATAAGGGGTTTCCCCTTTCACTTGGCTTTCATTCTGTCTTTCCTGCCAGCATGTAAGATATGCCTTTCACCTTCTACCATGATTGTGAGTCCTCCCCAGCCACATGGAACTATGAGTCCATTAAACCTCTTCTTTATACATCACCCTGTCTCAAGTCTGTCTTTATCAGCAGCATTAGAACAGACTAATACAATGTACCACATTTTCTTTATTCATTCATCTGTTTATGGACACTTAGGTTGCTTCCAAATCTTGGCTATTGTGAATAAGTGCTGCAATAAGCATGGGAGTACAAATAATTGATTTCCTTTCTTACGAGTATATATCCAGTACTGAGATTGCTGGATCATATGAGAGCTTTAGTTTTATTTTATTTTTTAAAATATGGAATGCTTCACGAATTTGCATGTCATCCTTGCACAGGGGCCATGCTAATCTTCTCTATCGTTCCAATTTTAGTATATGTGCTGCCGAGGCGAGCATTAGTTTTAGTTTTTTAAAGAATCTCTGTACTTCTCACCATTGTGGCTTACTAATTTATATTCCCACCAACAATGTATGAAGGTTCCTTTTTCTCTACATTCTTGTCAGCACTTGTAATTACCTGTCTTTTGGATAAAAGCCATTTTAACTGGGTAAGATGATATCTCATCTGGTTTTGATTTGCATATCTCTGATGATCAGTGATTTTGAGCATCTTTTCATATACATGTTTGCCTTTTGTATGTCTTCTTTAGAGAAATTTCTATCATATTTAAAAAAATTGTTTATTATATTTTCCCTATGAAGTTTTTTGAGCTTATTGTATGTTCTAGTTATTAATTCCTTGTTATATCCTCTTGCTGACTTGACCCCTTTATCATTGTGTAATAACTTTCTTTGTCTCTTTTTATACTTTTTGTCTTGAAATCTATTTTGTCTTATATAAGTATAGCTACTCCTGCTCTTTTTTGGTTTCCATTGGGAATATCTTTTTCCATCCTTTTATTTTCAATATATGTGTGGTTTATTTTTTGAGACAGAGTCTTGCTCTGTTGTCAGGCTCCAGGTTGGAGTGCAGTGGTGTGATCTCGGCTCACTACAACCTCTGCCTCCGAGGTTCAAGCAGTTCTCCTGCTTCAGCCTCCTGAGTAGCTGGGACTACAGGCATGTACCACCACACCCCACTAATTTTTATATTTTTTAGTATAGATGGGGTTTCACCACGTTGGCCAGGATGGTCTCAATCTCTTGACCTTGTGATCTGCCTGCCTCGACCTCCCAAAGTGCTGGAATTACAGGCATGAGCCACTGTGCCTGGCCAGTATATGTGTGTTTATAGGTGATGTGTGTTTCTTATAGGCAACATATTGTTGGGTCTTGTTTTTTAATCCATTTAGCCACTCCGTATCTTTTGATTAGAGAGTTTAGTTCATTTACATTCAATATGATTTTTTAAAGTAAGGATTTACTATTGCCATTTTGTTGTTTTCCAGTTGTTTTGTAGTCTTTTCTTCCTTCCTTCTTTCCTGTATTTTACTTTGTTTTTATTTTGTGGTATTATTTCACTCTAACTTGAGATAAAAAAATATACCACCAAATTATTTTCGTTTCTTCTTTTAAAGTGAGATTAAGCTTCAGTTCCTTATCAAGATTCTTCAAATGATTAACTGCGCTCAAGAGAATTTATAGAGTGCTCACTTTGTTTAGGCAGAAAGGATTGTGTGACAGAAGAGATGACAAAGTAGAAGACATTGGAACTATCTATAAGAGTTTACAGCCTAGTTGTGGAGATGATGTAGATACCAGTTGGGGATATGGCTGTGGTCCAGAGTCTGCAGAAGAGGCTGAAGGGGAGTTTGATGAAGGAAGAACAGCTAGCAGATCCTCTCATCTTGCAAGGAAACCTTTCAAGATAAGTAAGTTGTTAAATATCTTGGGAAGAACATGACTATTTTTAGGGAAATAACTGCCTATTGACAGGCTGGTAGGAGTTCATGAGAACTCTATGCATCAAAGTCCTTGTTTGCATAATCCAAGTTCAAGAGAATTACCAAAGCCAAGAGAAGCAAGAGGGTTAGGATAAGAGCACCAGCCCCAAAACTGTTTGCTGATTCTAGAGCAATAGCTTTGTCTCTCTGTACTAGATTTATATTTTTTCTTTTGGGTGGGTGGAAAATGATTTGGTTTATATTTATCCTCAGGGAGAGGAGGATTTGTGCAGATCCTGATTACTACAGTATTAGGAAATTTTCAACAGCACCCCAAGCATTATATAACTATTCTGCAAATGCTGGACTAGAAAATTTGCTTCTTTGGAGAGCTGTTATCTTTCAGGGGAATTTTTAAAAAATGCACATTAACTTAATTTAGTGCTTAGTTTTCAGACATAACTAGAGAATGTTTCATTAATACACTGTTCAATTCAAGCTGTTCCTGATCTTACGAGTCACAGATAAGGTTAGAAAACAATATTTCAATGATTTCTGGCTTTTCTTTAACTCACTTGCTAAATTAGGGCATCAGCTTTCTGAAAATTCTTCTCGTAGGAGTACTATCATGGTTAATGAAAAATGTAGCCAAAATTTATGTTTGTTATACCAGTGTCTTGTCTTGTTTGCATCTGTCCCAGATTTCTGTTTTTTTTTTTGTTTTTTTAAAGCAATGTATTATTATTTATCTTTGCATTAGAATATACGTGTGTGAATTTGGTAGACACCCTCTTGATATACCCACTTTCTGCTTTGATCTTTTCTAGTAATATGTGATATTCACATACAATAACAGAATTCTCATTTTAATGTGCATTTATATCACATTAAATGTGATAATCAATCAAGCATGACCAATGATAATTGTCTTTTCCCAGCCCTTTCCAGGCTCAGTGGAATACCTCTCTTTCAAGGACAGTGTGAAGAGTGAGAACACCACGTATATGTGGACAGAAGTGGCTATTTTGCCTTAGAGATGGTGGTCAGAAAAATATTTGGAGCTTAATATATTAACCAGTTCTCTGCTGGCATGTAGAGTTTTTTTTTTTTTTTTTTCCCAAGCAGGAAGATTAAATTTATCCTACATAAGCAAGGAAAAAACTAATTCAAATTTAACAAGTGCTTAAATAGTATACATAATTTAATTCTGAAATTTTATAATTACACTTTGGACTGTCTTGATTTCTGGGAAGAAATTTTGATGGAGTTATAATGTTTAATTAGATAAATTTACATTCTTTGTGGGAATAAGGTAAAAGGGAGAAAGCCTATGATTTTGCATCATGCATAACTAATGAATTTTGTAAGACTCATAGACAAAAGATTTTCTTAACAAATATTTTAGAAGAAAGAGGCTCAATGGAGATAAAAAGACAGTAGCAATAGTTGGGGTAAAATATTTAAACACTGAAACAACAGAATTGGAATTGAGAATATTCTGTATCTAGAAAACTTTTTTCTGTGAGTTTTCTTGGTACCTCATTGTCTATTGAGAGTATACCTCTGGTCAGTTAAAATATTGTCAATAGAAAAAAGTCAATTTTAGGTTTCTGTATATCTGTTTGTATCAATAAATAAAAATAAAAATATATAGAAACAATTTTAGGCCTCAACTATTATCACAAAATGTAATTTTAAGATGATTGCAAATAATTTTATATATGGAGCTCTTTAAAAATATATACATTCTTCTGTAAAACACCATTGACAGTATTAGAAACAGATACAGTTGAAAAGCTGATTAAAAGATTGTGAATATATTCAAAGGCTGATTGATCTACTTACATCATTTTTTCATGTTCAGATACTAAAAATAAAGTAGTACTTTTTCTTTGCTTCAGTATACCTTGATGAATGTATGCTTTTTAAGAAAAATTTTTCTTTTGGAAATATTTTTTGATGGATCTGTTTTATAAGAACAACTCTATGACAAAATCAACTTGTTAGTCAATAAAGAAAAGTTTAAATGGTTATTTATAACAATCCCCTGCACTCTCAGTTGTGTCTCTATTTGAATGATAAATACCTTTCCTTCAGGCATATTTAGGAATTCCTAGGACATGTCTTATACATGGTGCAATAAGTTGACACACCCAGGGCCCTGCTGAAACTTTGCATTTTCAGCCAGAGTCACCACTGTTCTGTCAGGTTCATGACTCTGCCAGGTGTTACTACTGCTTGTTAGGAACTATGGTAGGTGTCATGGGGTTGGCAGGCAGTGGTGCCTTATAGTGCAGAGTGGAGTGCTGCTTGGTGGTACAATGGTTCCTCTGTCTTGACCAGGCCGAAGGTCACCTCAGATTAGAGGAAAAGTCGGGGAGGCACAGTGTCTCCCATTTGATTAGCTCTCTTTCAGAATCCTAAAAAGTATGGCTGTGCTTCTTTGATTCACAGTGTTCTTAGTGAGCTTGCTTAAGTTTTTGCTTAGTGTCCATCTGATTTTAGGATGTGTCTAAGGACTTCCCTTTCAAATAGATACCTATCAGTCTATCCTCGAGTTTATGAGACATTTCCAGCTATGTATCATACTTAGCAGTGGCATAACTTCAGTTGTTTCCCAGGAGATTCCTGACCTCTTTCTTGCAAATAGGCTTCTCTCAACCTGTTTTACCCGCTAAAGTCTGAATTCCCACAGTGGGCACCGCCTAAACTCAAATTTAAAGTCCCATTGAATTTAAGAGGTTGCATAATTATAATACATTGTGACGACTTATGTATTATTAGTATATTAAAGTGTAATGATAACATTATAACACAGGAGGGATATGCATATGCAAAGAGATGGAGATGCAAAAGAGGAAACTATGACTTCAGAGTCCTGGCATATAGAGGTTTACTTACAGTTGGGGAGAGTGGAGATGAGGGGTTGAAGCTAATGGTGTGGAATGTAGATAAAGATCACTGATAAAGAATGTGATGATTTAAAATCACTGGAAGATTTTAAATATGGAAGAGAATTGCGCTTATACATGTTTTAAAGAGATGACTCTGGTCGGAGGGGATGAGTATGGATTAGATTTCACTGGTTACCCAATGGAAAGGAGACAGAAAGATGAATGAGGAGAGTATTGCAATTGTCTAAACAATGTACAGTGGTGATGGAGAGGATATTTCAGCTTTGTATATTATTTAGGATGCAGAATAAATATGGCTTAGTGACCAGAGCTAAGCATTGTGTGAGAAAGCAGTGGAAGTCTCTGAAGACACCTGGATTTCTGATCTGGATATCTCTATGATGTACCTCAAACAGGTAATACAGAATAGGAAAAAATTAGGGAGGAGAAATAATGAGTTCTTTATTAGGGATACCTAGTTAAAAAGAAATGACTAGTTAAAAAAGGAGGCAGAAATGGAAAAAAGAGATAAATAAGCAGAGAGAAAAGAGCCAGGAAAAACAAATATGGGCAGAGATAAACAAAGGCAGAAAAACAACATAGAAAATTATGAAAGATGTAGAGTGACATGTAAGTTTGTATTTGAGAAATAATTATATTTCAGTTCTTGGTATATGCA